TATNTATATATATATATATATATATATATATATATATATATATATATATACATGTATATATGTATATATACATGTAGAAGTCACGTAACACACGACGTACGGTTAAAAACTTCTTCTCAGCCCCCTTTCCCTTTACGCAAACGTTGCGTAACAATCGTTCGGTTTATTCACCGGCAATGCGTCAAACTTTCTAGCTTCTTCCAGGTGGTGGATAAGCTCGCGACGCCGTATTTGCTCGGCTGTTCTCGCGCCGTGAAACTTGGAAATTTATTCCCGGGGAAAATTCGCTCGCGTTTTGAATTTTTAGCAGGCCGGCCAACTTTCTTCTCCCTCTTTTCTCCCGTCGCGTTTAAACGGCCGCGACAATAGCGTGGTTCCTCGCCTCGTCGGTCGAGGAACGCAAATTCTTTCCAATTTCTCCAAATTATTAGATACTTCTCTTCTTTTTCACTTGTCGCGGATCGATTCAACGACCTCGATTCTCCTCGCGCGCGACTAATCGAACGAACTCCAGGAGGGAAACTTTTCCTTCCTTCCTTCCTTGTTTTCGTTTCTCGAAACGAAGCGAAACTCGTCGAGAAGAAGGAGGAGGCGAGAGACAGAGGTAAAAGTTGCGCTTTATCGAAGGCGATTTCCGACTTGACGATCGCGCCGACGTTGTCGCGTCCTACCAGCCGGACCAACTTTAACCAACTTTCGTTTGAATCGCGTTAAACGAATCCCCGATGTCACGCTGTCGGACGAAACACACCCCGTGGCCAGCCTCCCACGTTGCAACTATTCTCGCGAATCGCACAAAAGCCACTCGAAGCGCGGAAAGGTAACCCGTCAACTCGATCCTTGTCGTCGCCAAATTTTTGACGGCCGAATGGCGTCTTTCGAAACGCGTCTTCGCGGAAAGATAACCCTCGATTCGATCCTAATTTTCGCCAAAATTCTAACGGTGGTGTCTTTCGAACTCGAAACGCGTCTTCATGGAAAGATAACCCTCGATTCGATCCTTGTCGTCGTCAAATTTCTGACAGTGGTGTCTTTCGAAACGCGCGCAACGAACGTTTCAACGAACGAACTTTCGAAAGCTATAGCGAAAATGTCACGATAACTCGACCGGTTTTCCAATTCGAAATACGGTGCATAATACAACAGCACGCGTTATTACCTTTCACGGGTTGACAAATTAACCGATACTCGCCGTTGGTAATCGAGCCGTTTGGAAAACGAGTCGCTTCTATTAGAATCGAGTTAGGAAATAAAAGGGGAAATTTGGTGGGAAAAATGTTGATGGGAAGGACAGAGAGGATCGATCGTTAGAAGGGGAGAAGCGTGTACGCGATGGAACCGCTGCACATCGGATCCAACTAACCCCCGACACTCACTCGTCAAACACTACTCCTCGTCGCGAGGAGGCACGAATCTGCTCGCGCTGTCTAGTCGCTTCGACGGGAATCCGCGACAAACAATATCAACGATCGTCGTTTACGAAATTAGCGAGAAACCGCGAGAAACGTGGAGCCTGTATATATACATACTATAACAGGAGGAAAACATTCGCCGCGTCGAAGCATCGAGATCGTGATTAACGGCGCGCGATCGATATATTCTAAAATGGATGGCGGCCGTCGATTGTTTATCTACGCGGAATATCTCGCGAGATATTTCCATTCGCATCGCTCGAGGATTCAATTTCGGTTTTAGGAATAATCGGAGCAAGAAATCGTATATAGATTTTCATCGAGGTGGACCTTCTCCCTGTGTGGGTTCATCGGGGGATCCCACTCGGCAAGAAACGATTATCGTTGGATGATCGAGAGCGAACGAGTGTATCCGGAATTTGCGTTAATCGGAAAACGCGTAATCCGTAATAGAGGCGTCCGATACGTTCTCATAAGTGGGGCCCCGCACGAAATTCTGCATAATTTTACGAGACTTCTGTTCCGGGACGGGGGTGGAGGGCGGTGGAGTTTATAGGGCGATTTTCTCGGGCGTAATCCGGTACAAACGAGCCGGTTAAGTGGAGTATAAACTGTTAATGAAGCCCGGTATCATCGTCCACGCGGAACGCCTCGATCGCGTTGTTTGCCGCGAACAGTTGGAAAATTTAGACCGTGCCCGCTAAAAGACACTAATTGTAGGCGCAGCCGATAATAGTTAGTACCTGAACCCTAATCACCGGTGTTCGACGCTATCGATTCGACAAATCCAACGTTGTCCTTGCGCTGTTTCAGGTTGGTTCAATCGGCCGATAACGATTTTTTCCTCGCGACACGTGTAACGATCGATTGTAAGGAACGACAAGGAACGAGAAGAAATCGTGGAATCGATTTTTTTTTTCTCCGGATCGTTGACGAGTGGATCTTGGACTGGAATAAAGCGCGGGTAAAATGCTTTTTCGACTTTCATCGGAGGATGAAATCGAGCGCGTGGGGGAAAAAAGAGAGAGAAAGAGAGAGGGAAGAAAGGACGAGGAAGAGGAATGCACGCGCGAATCCGGCTCCCAATAGAGTTCAGATTGACGAGAATAATTCGGCTAGATCCGTCGGTTTGACAGCGGTATGGCGATGAATAGTAATGGGCGGATTAGATGCGATGTTGGTACGTAATCACATTTTATCGCGAGTCATTGGAAAACGAGCCTCGAACATCGAAGCCTCGTCTTTGTTCGTGTTGGAAAAAGGTGGAAGGATTCGGTCCAAGTTCGGCATGCGCGAAGTTGAAGATTAGAAAATGTAAAAAATCGTGCGAATTCGTTCGCAAGTTTTCGTTCGGGTAATTTTTATCGGAAAAGATCGATCGTCGATAGGAGATCTATCAGTAACTGTACAGAAATTCGATCAGGTTGAATGGAGACTCGATACCCAAGATCTAACGAAATAAGATAATTTTATACGATAACAAAAAATTGAATTACATTATTAATTTTCCGCTTGTGCGTGCGTTCGTCCTTCAAATTTCTGCAAATTGATTCTTGATAAAAAAAAAAAAGAAAGAAGAAACGAGAGAAAATACGATTCGGGGATACGATTAATCGAGGTCGTAACCCGTGTAAACAGGACGAGCACGCGACAAAGGATTATAACGACGGCAATAGAATCGAGTATCGGGATGGGAGCTCAGGTGAAGCTCGATTCTCTACAAGGTCGATAATGACGCGAACGGTCCTACCAGGAGCTGGAGGAGCGATCAATCGAAATCGTGCTTGTTGCTGCCTATCCAACCTGCGACCTCTCGATTTTCCCCTGTCTGCCCCCTGGCCCCTTTCCTTTTCCACCGCATCTCCACCTCTTTCTCTTCCTCTCGCCCACCCCCTCCTCTCCCCATCCCCTCCCGTTCAGGTCCCTCGGCTCGCTCTTGAACCGGGCCATTCAACGAGGCCGCCCTTTCGCCAGATTCCTCTTCCCG